AACTGTTTTCTATGTGAATATACAGTATTTTAAAATGTAATTTATTCCTGTGACCAAAGTAACATTTTTAGCATCATTACTCCAGTCTTCAGTGTGACATGATCCTTCAGAAATCATTCTAATATGATGATTTGCTGCTCAAGAAACATTTATGATTATTATTAATGTTGAAAACAGTTTTGCAGCTTAATTATTTTGTGGAAACCGTGTGTGTATGTGTAGGCCCATATATATAGGCTATATTAGCCTAGTGCGTATAACTGTGTAAATGTTTGTTTATATAATAAGAATAATATAATGTGTGTGTATACATTGTGTGTGCGTGTGTCTTTATATGGTTACTTTTGATCGGTCTGGCTGAATATTTTTTTTTTATTTTTTTTATTATTTTTTTTTAAATCATGATCTTAAAGTTGACCCCAAACTTTTGACTGGTAGTGTATGTTTCGAACAGAATTGTATTAATTAATCATAAAAGTTTTTAGAGCGCTAGTGAACTAAAATCGCGTTTGTCTTACAGGTTAGGCTAGTGTTACAGGTTACTGCTAGTAATAATAGTGTAATAATAAAACGCTTTCCGTAAGGGATCCGAATCGACCCTTTGAACCATTTTTTTAAGTTTTAAATTTTCTATATTTTCTATCATATAACAAGAAGTTCTGTTTAAAAAGTATTTTCAATAGCCAAAAGCAATCACTGACGTAATAAATGTAGACCAAAGTCCCTTGAAGATTCTAGTCTTTGATGTACACCTGAAAGTCATAGCTACACTGTGCTGCCACAGTACACAAGTTTTGCGTTTTGGCACATTATTAGAGACTCTGTATTTAATGTGTCCTGTATATGACTGACCCAGGTAATTCTGCCAGCAGTTTTTCGTCTGGTTCTGGTTCGGGAAACGGGCATCGAACGGTGCCGTGCGATACTTCTCCAGTTTCTGCTGAATGTCCTCGGCCATGATTCGCGCGGTCCCTTTAAGACATGCAGATTCAGATACAGTATGATACAAACGGCTGAAGAACCAACTTTAAGTCTTTAGACAGACACTAAACTATCTTAAATAAATGCATCTATCACATTCAAAAACAGATGAATGTATGGCAAGACTTTTAATCAGGATATCAATTATTGATATCAATTCAATTTCCACTAGTAAAAATGTGAACACTTGACGTCATCAAAGTTGATATCTATAAACTTCCAACTAGTAAAAACTATAATTCTTGATATCTGTTATTGTCTTTTCTCTAGTTAAATGTCGCCATAGGCTGCCATTCAAATTGAATTGTTGATATCAAGAAATAATAACCTGCGAATAAATAAAACTCAAAAAGGCTTGAATGAGATATTTCAGAAAATGCCCATATATGACCGTAAAGCTGCCCGTACTGTGCTTCAATTCAGCAAGAGAAAACATCGGTCACAAAACCTAATGTATTTATATTATATCTATAATGATAGGCCTATGTACAGGAAATGCGTTTAGTCAGCGTGCATACGAATATGCATTAATATATTTTATTAAGATTACAATAGCACATCTAAGGTATGTATAAGTTTCATTTATTTTTCAATGTAAATGGATATTCGTTTTGTATTTTAAATAGGCGATCCCCGCATACACTTTCGCTTTTACAATGTTGAGAATCAATGTCTGATCTCACTTTGAATAATGTATTTCAATAGTTCAGGCGTTAAATTACCGCATGCAATGAAAGCATATAGTCTCATAATGTGTTTTACCTGTCTGAGGCGGCTTGCTGTTGAAAATGACTTTTGTTCAGTGTCACTGTCTGTCACACACTCCTCATCCACTTGTGTGAGTGATGATAGTGCACTTGAGCGCTCGTGCAGTCCTGTACACACGGTATGGCGGATCAGGTCACATTGAAACGACTGAGATGTGATGTACTGTACTTCTCGAGGCAAACACCAGGCGCCCTCATATGCTTAAATACATGTGCATAGATACATATTCAAATAAATAGCTTAATCATGTATTTATGTGAATTCATGCAACTTTCAGAATAACATGTCATGTCGTCATCATATCCGGAAAGTGCATGGTGTTGTGCGCTACAGGTTAATATTTAATCGGTGGATAATCACTTGGAGATATGTTTATGTTTGCATGGTTATTCTAAAGACCAGTACCTTCCCATTTTCGTTAAGTTACTGGTGGTTTTATTTTAGCATCTTGTTTGCCTAGTCCTATATATGGTTGCAATATTAATTTTGTAGCTACACTGAAACTCATATCTGGGACTGCTGCACTGGGATGCTATGTTCATTTTTAACAGGATAATGCTGAAAAGATTATGTGGAGCAAACGGTAAAAATAGCTTTAAAGAAGTTTCTTGAATCCGTTAATGCAGAATCACAGGGCCGTTTCTGGGAAATCAGGGTTGACTGTAGTGTATTCTGCTCTGGCCTCTTACCTTTTAAAAATAAAAATGGAAAGATTTTTGTGGGCTCACTGAACCTGTGGGCCTCTTCAGTCATTCCCCTTTTTAACCTCATAGATAGATAAAGCGATAAATGAGTATTTTGAATGTGAAGTAGGCCTATTTTGGCATCCAGCTGATGGTATCAAATGACCACACCGCTCTCAAAGTTTGGCATGTATAATTGTTGGTGAGCTACTGCAAGTTACTGAGAAGTACTGATGCGTTGGAACATGTCAGTACACGTTAACATTTTGTGTTTACAGGTGCGTCACTGTTTTTCCGTTCTCGCATTCACCAGGAGATGCATTTACTAGTCTGATGCTTTTCATGTTCAGCACAATTGTGTCAAACACATTATATTTTCAATTCAATTCAATTCAAATTTATTTGTATAGCGCTTTTCACAATACATATTGTTTCAAAGCAGCTTTACAGAAAGTGCATTTCAGAAATGTACATAGAAGAATATAGTTAGTTAGTCATCATGTACTAATTTAGGGCATAACATATCGCCGGCGTTGAGTCGTCTCTTCACAGGCGTCGAGTCGTCTCATCGCAGGTGTTGGGGCATCAGAAGTCTCCGTGAGAGGCTGGATACAAACTGGAGCTGACGAACGCTATTTACCTCGGGACTAGCGTCCCGAGATAACAGCAGAAAAGCAGATGGGAGATAATTAGCGTAGCTGCTGTTCATAGTATTAATGCATTCGATCTGATTCAACAATAGAAGGTAAGCATTATGTGAATGCTTGGCTAAAGAGATGCGTCTTTAATCTAGTTTTGAACTGGGAGAGCGAGTCTGAGCCACGAACAGTATCAGGAAGGCTATTCCAGAGTTTAGGAGCTAAATGTGAGAACGCCCTCCCTCCTTTAGTGGACTTAGATATCCTAGGAATGACCAGAAGCCTCGAATTTAGTGATCTTAATTTAGTGAGCTTTTATTATCGTAACAACGCTTAAGCTAATTAGATTGAATTAAACATCTCGATAAACCCATCAAAGGCTCATAAACGAGTACCAGGGAAAGCTTGAATAAATCAGTAATTAACTTCATGAACCTCGTGCACGTGACTGATCAGAATCTAACTGCTGCGCGGCGCGTGCACAGAGAGCGTGCACACTTCCCTTGCGCGGTAAAATTAAGTCATGTGACACGTTTTAAACACGCATGCTATGTAGACTTCAGCTTTACTAACATTTTTTTTAATTTATTAAAAATACCAAAACATTTATACATTTGTACATAGTAATGTTGTTTTATTGACATTTATTAAATAGCATTAATATAATTATGAATTGTTTCATTACATTTTAATGGTATATAAAATGTATTGATCGTATTAGATACTATAGCTATTGAATAATATAGCCTTTTTGAATAACAAAAAAAAAAAAAAGGAAAAGAAGAAAATATTACTGATGAAAGCTTGCCTTATGAATACTAAGTTGGTATTACCTAATATCCATGAGCTAAGCTTGCTTGACCATTTTGAAATGAGGGGAATGAAATGAGTCTTAAATATCCATGAAATAAGAAATAATCTTGAATTAAGGATTCAAAAACAGAAGCACTGGATGAAATCTATTTATTACACAGTGTAACAATACAATCAAGTAGAATATTCTCAAATAAAGACAGAAAATAGCAGATGCAAAATTCTTGACCTGATCTACAGGTTTACAAAATCACTCAGTGAACCTAAACTAATTATTAATAAATCTCACTCTAATAAATACAAAGCATCAACTTAACCGATTTATTTTAAACATGTTCATCTACTACAACTATATATAATCAACAGTGTTATTTATTTTGGCTTCTTTAGATTGAAAGGCATCTGGATTTGGTGCAGCTGATCGTCCGGTTCAAAACCTAAGACGATTTAAAGCTCTGATTTTACTAGATTCTGCTCATTGGTTCAGAGAAATGTCTACATCCCTACTTTAAACTAAACCCATATTTTGTAGATAAGATCCAAAATAGCAGACAGACAGACACTCATAACTGCACCTGTAGTGATCAGAACCCTATTTGAGGCACTAAATGTACAGCATTATGTGAAACATATCACAGTGAGTTAACAGGTATTGCAAAGGTGCATCTTTAACAATAGCAGCAGCATAAAACAGCTGAACACTTACAAACAAACTCTCCCAAACTCATGAAACCATTAATAAATCATTTAAACGAGACACAAAGTCTCCATCCTAACAAACAAACTGCAAACTAAGACACACACATCTAAATTAGGCCTTGTTTTAGTTTTGCTTTGTGTGTATGAATCAATGCAGACTTGTGTAAACTCCTCCACTATAGTGTTAAGCAAAACATCACTCTAATACGGCACGAAATACTCAAAATACAATGAAAAAAGCACAATGAATCTCATGTCCAGGTCATATTTCATACCTGAATCAAAAGTAGGAAAATTAGAACATTTGCTCAAGAAAATGAAGGCTATTTTTAGGACTTTTTTTTTTCAAGTGTGAATTTTATTCATTTTTATAAATATTTTATAAATAGTTTTTAGGACATTTGAGCTAATTTTTCAAATTTTTCATGACCTGGACTTTTCTGTATGAGATTCACCTTTATATGAAATCCCAGATACTTCCGAATATAAACGTACCTCTTGACAGTCATCTGCCTTATGCAGAAATCTGATGCTTTACAGTACGGTAGTTTATGATTGTCATGCAGCATGAGCCAAAAGTGTGTGTCCCTTCTAAATGAATACATTCACTTGTATAGTATCAGGGGAAAAGCCCTGATGATTTGGTTTAGTGTCTTGGGTTTTATTCTTAGTCCAAGTCTAGATGAACAGATATTCTAAATAAAACGGTCGAGACATAAACTCTGTTTCGGATTTCAAGAGTGCAAGTTCTACATGCAGCAACTGGCTTTTAGCCTGTGTGACCTTTGGGTTGAAGATTAGTGTTCATTGTGTCTCAGTAAAGTGCATCACTGAAGCGCAGCATGTGGAAGGCCTCCTTCACGGACTTCTCCATGTCGTCAGAGATCGGTTCATCGGCTGCTACTCCCAGAACGCCGCTCTCCGACACGTCATCCTTTATCTTCCGTTTGGTCAGAATCACAGGCTCCGTCTCGCCTAACTCTGCATGCTGTCGTCCGTCCGGTCCAGTCAGAACGAGGTAACAGGCGTGGCGACCTTGCTCCAACAGCGTTGCTAAACAAACGCAGAGAGATGCTTAATATTTTAACAAACCTGACTTACAACATATTGCAATTTAAAGGTGCTATTAAGACTTTAACCCAGCACATTTTCACCAATCAAAGAAATGTCAGCAAATCCAAATGCATAAAACTTTACATTAAAAGTACAGTAGCAAAACCCGTAAACAAATATAACTGCAAGCAGTGATTAAGCACCACAGAGGCAGAATGAGGAGTTGAAAATCGAGGCAGTGAGCATCAGACCAACTGCAAACACGAGTAAAGACATTGACAGCCCATAAATACAATCACTTGTAATGTGAAATAATTGTTTATTACCTTCGACCAACATGTGGAGCTGACACCAAATTGATCTGGTGTGGTCAGTGTTGGGTGACACTTGCACACATAGGACACTATCCCAGCGCAATCCCATATCCCAGCGCAATTGACTTTGTACACCGACACATGTATCATTCGTATTTTGCACTCGTGCAAAGCAAACTTTTCCCTCCACAGACGCACGCCGGCAAACTAGGGAATGACCTTGCGCTCCCTGGGCGGTTCAGCGCAAAAAAGGAGGCGTGTTTCGGCGCAAACAATCCCTGGTGCTATTTTGCAGTTCCAGAAAACGATTGCGCCACTGACCAGAAAAAACCTAGTCTAAAGTCAGTGGCGTGTTGCGCGTACATTCAGATGCTATTTTAAGCGCGCATGCTTGGCCATAATACAGAGTGTGAACAACGCGCATACACTGCAGATGATTCTCTCATCTACACAGATGCATTTTACTTTTTGCAAATGATACATTATTATAAGGAAAAATATTAAAACACGAGGGAAATCATTGTTGTGTCCATGACGATGGGAAAAATAGGCATATAAGCTTACACATTTACCCAAATTATTATATGCATGTTTAAACGAAGCTAATCTTGGTGGGTTTGTCCCGTCCCCAATGTCACTTCTCTTTCTTTTACGGCCCTGACGAGAACATTGATCTCCTCGGCTGAGAACCGATTCTGAAGCGCGCTGGTAAATGCGCCGTTATAATAGTATTGCGCTATGGAACAAGCGCACCTCGTTCATCACGCTCTTAAAGGGAATGTGATACGACGCTCTTATTGGTTTGTTTCCCGTTACGCCCAAACCACACCTATGAATAATGAAGCTACTTCAGACCAACCCCTTTTAGATTTGCGTCGAGCGCAAGAGTCATTTATCCCGCCGGTTAAATAGCAACAGCGCCGAGATCCGCCCACAAAGTTACTTGCGCTTTAGATCGTTAAAATAGGGCCCATAAAGTTTGGTGTCAATGTGTCAAAAATGATATACAATTCATCTATCGACACGAAATCCACTTTTTGCCGACATGGTCTGAAGATGGACTCGAATATGGTGAAAATCAGACAAACAGTGTTGGAGTTAGAAAAAGTAGTTTAAAAAAGATCAAATGGCCGACATTTTCATTTTGGCGTGCTCTTCGTCGAATTCGTTCATGTGTTATTTTTCGTTTATGAAGATGATCTGGTTAATAGTCATTAGAATGGAAGCAACAGTCTAAGAGGAGTTCAAAAAAAGTAGTTTTTTCGGGAAATTGAAAATGGCGGGAAATTTCTTTGAGGTAATAGTAATAATTTGGTAATCATCTTGAGTCTAAGAATTTTGCCAAAAAGTTATTAACCCAAATGTAAGTGAAATTTTGGACAGTTGGTGGCGCTAGAGGGAATGAGGTAGAGACTCCAAAATTGCTGTGGTTAATGTTCAGACTATCCTCTATCCGTGTGCCAAATTTCATAACTTTTTACCATACTGTTCTATGGGCTACCATAGACTTCAATAGCAGAAGAAGAAGAAGAACACTAACGGATACAATAAGAGCCTGATGTTTGGCCTCTAATAAAGAGATGCAAGAAACCTTGACTAACATTATAAGATATAAATGATCAAAAAGAAATCTATGGTTAGATAAGCCTTGATGATGTTGTGAATAAGAAATACCCTTAAAAGAGACGATGTTCTGTGCAGAATTTCTTCTTTCAAGCAGCAGTTGTGTGTGTCGAGGATGGAGCAGGAATGATGACTGCATCTGAATATCAACAACAAACACAAACACATCAGTGTCTTATTTCTGCAGTTGTGTGTGTGTGTGTGTGTTATGCTCTTACTGTCTGGTTGCTGTGACCCTGTCCCCAAAGCATGAACACTGAGAATGCGTTTTGCGTGAGGACTGACGCCGGACGAGGACTCGGAGTCCAGAACGACAGATTGAGCTTCCACAGGACGTCTCCAGAGTGTCCGCTGAGAACCAGCACCTAAAACATATATATAAATAAAAAGAAGTCTCTGTAACACTTTAGTTCAGGGTCCAATTCTCACTATTAACTAGCTGCTTATTAGCATGCATATTACTAGAATATTGGCTGTTTATTAGCACATGTTTATGCCTTTATTCTGCATGAGCTTATTCTACATCCCTTAATCACACAATACCTAAACTTAACTACCTTACTAACTATTAGTTAGCCGTAATTAGGAGTTTGAGGCAAAAGTTGTAGTTAATAGTGAGAATTGGAGCCTAATCGAAAGTGTGACCAAAGTCACTTATGTTCACCAAGGCTGCATTTATTTGATAAAAAAAACCACAGACATATTGTGAAATATTTTGACAATTAAAAGACCCGTTTTCTATGTGAATATATAGTAAAGTGTAATTTATTCCTGTGATCAAAGCTGAATTGTCAGCATCATTACTCCAGTCTTCAGTGTCACATGATCCTTCAGAAATCACTCTAATATGATGATTCGCTGCTCAAGAAACATTTATGATTATTATCAATATTGAAAACAGTTGTCCTGTTTCACATTTTTGTAGAAACCATGATACGTTGTATTCAGGATTATTTAAACAATAGAACAGGAAAAAAAACAAGTGTTTATTTGAAATGGAAATTATAAATGTTACTGTCGCTTTTGATTAATTTAATTTAATGCATCATTGCTGAATAAAAGTATTAATTTCTTATTAAAAAACCTTACTGACCCCAAACCTTTGAATGGTAGTGTCCAAGTTTTTTTGATATTTGATTAAAACAAGGCAAATCAGGGTAAAAGGCATGTTCTGTTACTATTACTCTACACCTCACATTATTATTATTAATACCAATTTGGTCACTCACTCTTTTGGTGTCATTGCCAATGTCTTCCTCTATCATTATATCTGGAATTCCATCTTTGTCGAATTGCCCAAATGTAGGCACACTAGAAACACACACACAGGGATGCATTAGTGTAATGTAATGCACCTTCCAGTGTTTTGTGTAGTTTGGACTGGTTCCCGCACCTGAGCAGAGCGCTGGTGTTGGTGGTCCATGCGATCTTCAGTTTGTCTGTGAGCAGCAGTGACACGCTGGAGTCCGTTTGGACCAGCAGTGATGGAGAACCACTGTCATGAACAACCGACACACGCTTCAGGGAATCAGACCTGCAGACAGGCGACCAGAAGAAACCCATTAAACAATGATGAGGGGAAAAACAAAGAAAAAGAGTGAAGAAGTTTGAGCCCACAACGCTTATTACTGATAGAGTGAGATCAATCCAGTTTGACCATCTGATCTTTCCTCCCAGCTTTTCTCTTTCTTCAGCGCAGGCTTCAGACCAGCCCGAGCTGCCAGATGTTGCACACACACCGCATAGAGCCCTGAGTCTGTGGACAGAGAAAGAAACTGTTGAGTTCAGAGGAATATAAAGGAGAAACATTAAAGAGATGCTAAAAGCAGTGACACACCATTAAGTAACAGCAGGTATGGAGCGCCGCTGGCCGTTTTGAACGGTAGATGACCAATAACCCCATTCACATCGACATCCACCCGTGAGCCGATCTGATCACCTGACCTCCCTGAGAAAAACACCAGCTTCTAAAGGAGGGAAGAGATTACCATCACAATGAACATCATCACAAAATATTCAGAACAGGTGAGCATTAGAATGTTATTGTGTGTGTGTGTGTGTGTGTGTGTGTGTGTGTACTTGTACGACTATCTTTGTGAGGACCAGTTTGAGTTTTAGACCATTGGAGTGAGGACAAAGAGAGTAAAGTGAAGACATTTTGGCCGGTCCTCACTTTCTGAGACCCCTTTAAAGGCCTGTTTGAGGGTCAAGACTTGGTTTTAGGGATAAGGTTATAATTAGGTTAAGGGTAGGTTTAGGGTAAGGGTTCGGGTTAAGCACTTAGTTGTGATGAGTAAGGTTAGGGTAAGCCGCTAGAGATTGCATTGTGTCAATTAATGTCCTCATAAAGATAGATGTACAAGAGTGTGTGTGTGTGTGTCTTACCGGTATGGGTGTGAATGATGATGCTTCAGGATTATATGAAAGCACAGCAAAGTCCTCTGCTCCGTCAGCATTCAGATCCATAGCGCTGATCAGCGGGAGATTTCCATCCATCATAGTAGAGCGCGACTGCTGCCACATTATCTCACCTGAGGGAACCAAAACATCAAAATGTTTACAAATGCACTTTTGCACAAAAAGTAATGTGGTACCATGTTACTGAAAGATTACCATATTCATAAACTACTACTGTTCAAACGTTTGGGCTCAGAAAGATTTTTTTTGTTTTAGAAAGAAATTAGGCTAATACTTTTATTCAGTAACGATACATTAAACTGATCAGTAAAGACATTTATAATGTTAAGAAAAAAATGTGTCATGGTTTCCACAAAAATATGAAGCAGCAACACTGTTAAATGTTTCTTGAGCAGCAAATCATCATATTAGAGTGATTTCTGAAGGATCATGTGACACCGAAGACTGGAGTAATGATGCTGAAAATTCATCTTTGATCACAGGAATAAATTACATTTTCAAAAATATTCACATAGAAAACAGCTTTTTTAAATTGTAATAATATTTCACAATATTACTGTTTTTACTGTATTTTTGATCAAATAAATGCAGCCTTAGTGCGCAGAAGAGACATCTTTCAAAACATTAAAAAATCTTACCAAGCCCAAACTTTTGAACAGTAGTGTGTGCCATAATATTGGTACTGGTTCAAATACATGGAACTATACATATGTCCAGATCTCTGTGTAATGAAATCCTGTACCGGAGTTTTTGTCGATCGCCGTGAGTGTGTCTGCGTGAGCAACCAGACATCCTGACCCTTTTCTTCCGAGCCCCTTTACGCCACACTCCACCCAATCAAACTCAGCAGCTAAAGGTCTTTTCCAAAGCGTCTTCCCATCGGTGCCATCAACAGCCGTTAAAACCATACAGGGGATTGATAAATCTGAAAAAACAAACCATTACTTATTATTAGCATAATACACAATAAAGCAGCAACCTTGAGTCCCTTGTAAAGATGTTCAGTGAATAATGACTTAAATTTGGGTCTGTTCCTCACATAAACCTAGAAAAGCTACTACTGAACTGCTTTTGGAGAGTTTTTAACATTTATTTTTGGTAACACTTTATTTTACAGTGATCTTTTTACATATGTACTTACCATAGTAATAACTATGGAAGCTTGTTTAAAAAAGGTAATTGCGACTTTTTATCTCACAATTCTGACTTTATTTCTCAGAATTGCGAGATATAAAGTCAGAATTGCGTGATATAAAATCGCAATTGCGTGTTATAAAGTCAGAATTGCGAGATATAAAGTCAGAATTGCGAGATATAAAGTCAGAATTTATTGATATAAAATCGCAATTGCGTGTTATAAAGTCAGAATTTATTGATATAAAGTCGCAATTGCAGGTTATAAAGTCAGAATTGCGTGAAATAAAGTCAAAATTGCGAGATATAAAGTCAGAATTTATTGATATAAAGTCGCAATTGCAGGTTATAAAGTCAGAATTGCGAGATATAGTCAGAATTTATTGATATAAAGTCGCAATTGCAGGTTATAAAGTCAGAATTGCGTGAAATAAAGTCAGAATTGCGAGATATTAAGTCAGAATTTATTGATATAAAGTCGCAATTGCGTGTTATAAAGTCAGAATTGCGAGATATAAACTTGAAATTATGTGTTATAAAGTCAGAATTGCGAAAAAAAGTCGCAATTGCGAGATATAAAGTCAGAATTGATTGATATAAAGTCGAAATTGCAGGTTATAAAGTCAGAATTGTGAGATATAAACTTGAAATTATGTGTTATAAAGTCAGAATTGTGAGATATAAACTTGAAATTATGTGTTATAAAGTCAGAATTGTGAGATATAAACTTGAAATTATGTGTTATAAAGTCAGAATTGCGAAAAAAAAGTCGCAATTGCGAGATATAAAGTCAGAATTGATTGATATAAAGTCGAAATTGCGTTTTGTAAAGTCAGAATTGTGAGATATAAACACGCAATTGTGAGAAAAAAAGTCAGAATTGTGAGATAAAAAGTCGCTATTATTATTTATTTTTTTATTCAGTGGCGGAAACAAGCTTCCATAAATAACAGTAAATTATGATTAATTACATGCAACTAACCCTCAACCAAATCCTACCCTAACCCTATAGTAAGTACATGTAGTTGCTTAATGTTACTCAGTAATATGTTTTTACTGAATAATTCTTATATAATAGATTCGTCTGTATTCCACAGAAGAAAACCAACAGCAAGCGTGTTTGTGCATGTGTGTTTAAGCTTACTTCGACTCAAACATGTGTTGCGGCTCTCATCAGCATCCTTGTACACGAAGAACACATCCAAGACTTTGTCTCCATTGGCGTCCTCAACCGCCAGGAAATTATATGTGGCTGTAGGAGAGAAACACACTCAGTATCCAATCAGAAATGCATGAAACACCGCTGTGGTCAAATCGAGTTTTTTCCATTTACGACGTCTTGCGAAAATCAAGTCTTTTCTCTCTGCAAAACATTTTGAACGGATCATTCATTTATTTGTTTGATCTCGTCTAGACTGCTGTAACTCTTTATACTATGGTGAAAGACAATCCTCTTTAATGCGTTTACAGGCTGTTGACACAGGCCGAGCAAGACATTGTTTATCTATTGATGTGTGTTCTTTTATTGGTTGTCTTATTATTTTATTTTGTATTTTTTATTCTGTTCTGTACGGCACTTTGGTGAGCCTTGGTTGTTTTTAAATGTGCCTTATAAATAAATATTGTATTGTATTGTACAGCACCTTGTGTCAACCTTGAACGTGCTTTATAAATAAAGAAAAGAAAGTCACTACTGTAATTTTGACGGTGTTCACCTGCGGCAGGGAGCGTGTGGTTCCAGGTGGGCAGGTATTGCGGTCGTACGGGGCAGGGAAGGATGAATGAAAAGGCGAAGACCACCATCAGGCACACGAAGAGAGAGAGGAGGAACGCTGCTGTGCGCCAGCCTGTCAGACGGGAGAATCCCAGCTTTCCTGCGCAGCCTTTCTCCTTAGACACGCTCCCTTCTGTCTCTCCACCCTTCAGAGGCTCCGCTTCAAAACCACGAGCTGATGCATCTGCCATCTCACACCAGCAGATCTGCTCACCACTGCAAGATAGAAGCAGGGGCGGTAACACATAATCATCTGGTGATTACCCCCAAAAAATGATTTCAGAGAGTCATCTTCTACTTTAAGTGCATTATCCCTCATGAGTGCATACAGAAATGGTGAATAATCTAATGTGCATATTAAAAGCAATCAATACAAGATGTTGAACAAGTTCACCAAGTTGAAATAAAACATTGAAAACTAAAGTGAAAGGTTAATTGATACACACTGCGAGGTCTCTCCCATTCAGAACCCCTCCTGCGGTCCCAGCCTCTAAAAAAGCTTTTCTTGCCCAAACCTGTATGAAAAAGTATTTCATAGTCTGAGAACAATACGAGAGAGAGAGAGCGTGGAGTGATACAGCAGTTACATAGAAAATCGATCGCCTGGGTCAACAATTATATAATTTATAGCCTAGTTATACAAAAATATTTGACCCAATCTTGTATTCCAGAGTACTGTGAAATACATTTACATAAACCCGTTTAATCCATCAAATGTGTATTTTGGCTTTCGTTCTAATCTTCAAATCAAGTTTAATGCTGCAGTCTACACGTCTACTTAAGCCCAAAATGTTATTTTAAATGATCTGTAAAATCTTAAAATGTCATTTTTGTTGTAAAACTACATCATAATCACATAATTTAGACTGAAAAAATATGCATTTAATAGAAAATTAATTTATAATTTAATACAAAATTCAGTACATTAAGCTTAATTTTTATGTGACTGCTACAGTCATATTAATTTCATACGGCACATTCAATCTTTCTATTCTTTACCTATACCTAAAACACAAATGTTTTTAATTCACTGAAATTACACTCCATTACATAGGTTTAAAAAAAAAAAAGGTTTTCATTGGTTTCAAATCAGATTCAGGCCATTAGTGTGAGTCAAAATATGTACAAGAACATAAATCATCAAAGTATTTCAAAGTGATTCAAAGTATTTTAAAACATCAAGGAAACAAAGGAAGGCTAACTAATTCTTCAAGTTCACAGCTCCCTACCTGAATTCAACCCTGTAAGTTCAATGATCGTTCACAACATCACAATCCAAGGGCATATGTAAACTCATTTCAACTCTTTACAAACACAACAAATCCTGCTTCTCTTCCTATCCAGAGTGTTCTGTGTCAGACAGAAGCTGTTGTTAAACACAAACCCCTGTGTCATGCTGCCGGTGCCAAACTAACTAACACCACCTTTCTGGAAACCTTTAACCACAGTAGCACCACACACACAAACTATAATCACTTACTGTAATACACAAACACACAACATAACAACATCATCCTGTGTATTTTACATATATAAAGGCTTTTATATGTAAATGATGATGTTTAAAACATAACACATCCTAAGCCTGTTGCATGACATAAAATGACAACCACACATTAACATATACACAACAGCTGAGCTTATATAAGAGACAACTAACTCGTTTCACCTTCATTAACTAAAATACAAGGTGTCTTGCAGAAACAGACATCAACTTTTGAGAGATACGTGTTTCTTAAATGTAACTTAAAATTATCTCATTAGCCTTTAATTAGCCCGCTTTAATTGTTGACCAAATAGAAACCAAGTATGAATTTGGAAAAACACACTTTTGTCTGATCAAAACAAACCTGCTGAATGACAGTTATCGCTTCTCTTCTATGTGAGCTTTGGTTTGGCAACGACATTTCCGCGTACGGCAACGCGGCTGGGACAAAAAAAAGCGATTTTATTCCAATGGTTTTTCCTTGTCTCTCATATTTGCTTGAAAGACAAAGAAACAAATGTCATATGGAATTACCTCCTTTTTATACAAATAATTAATAGTATCATTAGTATAACAGTATTATTAATTGTACACATTACTCAGAAATGTAATAACTTCTATTGTGTTACGCGTTTTTAAAAATGTATTAATAAAATAAGTTTTAATTTATTTCAACGTTCAGTTGAAATGGGTCTTTGTAGTTGCTGATTCAATATTGATGTTATTACTGTGTTACAGGTGTTGTTGCGCATTTAAGTTGATTTATTTATTAGTATTATTGTGTAAAACCATTCATAATACACAATAGTAATAATAATAGTATAATATACATACAGTTCCTCTTTAAGATTGCGTCGCGCGCTCTGATTGGCCGCTCACCCGTTTGAGTTCATTTGCTCGCTCGCTAGTGAAGAGAGCAGAGGAGGCGATAGACGCAGGAGCGAAGCGTTTCGCAGATGATTTAAACTTTAATTTTTAGGGTAAAATCACCATAACCCTTGTGAGGCGCGCGATTAATCGTGTCAGGATGTCGGCCCAGGCTCAGATGAGAGCTTTGCTGGATCAGCTGATGGGAACGTCGAGGGATGGTGAGTGTTAGCTGAGTGCTAACGGCTCTGAGAGGATTTCTGAAGGCCGCGCGCTCAGATTAGCCCAAACCAGAATATAATAACCCAGTCAAATATTAAAATGAACTTCTTAAGATAAACATCACAGCATTAAGTTTAGCTAAATGCCGCAGTATTTCCTCTTGAAACGCTTCAGTTTAATGTTTGTGTCCATAAAGGGGGTGTAATGACGTCAGTGGGACGATTCGGTATGCTAAGCTAATAGAACAGCAGCTCATCTAATGACAAATGACGCTATAATTAATGAATACGGGTTTTTAGCAAAAAACTGAAATCAGTTATAGTCATCTACAATGATTAAATATTTTTTTTTAGAAAGAATTGTCTCTTGATATCTGTATATCTAACCCCCCCTATATAATTAGTAATATTATTATTGACATTTGTGACAGACCAACATGTCTTAAGGGTCAATTAATTAGCTGATATTTGTCCATTTTGACAGTCTTTTAAATATTCAGTGAATTGATTAATATTGTGCGAAAGTTAAATCACACACGCATGCATATATTTATATATATATATATAATTTATATATATGTCTGTGTGTGTATATATATATATGTATATGTAGCTCATATACACGTATGAAGTATTAGCTACATATATTAAATTACATATTTAAAGGAACTGTAGTTTCCCAAAAAATGAATGCAAGCATTAAATCTGAATGAGCATTGCCAAGAGGAAATATGGCTTTTTTTTTTAGACTGTGTGATATGATTTTGATCAGCTCAAGAGGATTTTAAGATGAGTAAACAACAGAAAGGACTTGAGCAGCTAGAATTTATTGAATTGAGTTGTACTGGCTGTAAGAAATCTCACCCTCCGTGTGAATGAAGCGACTGTCTTTGTGAATGCTGAGATGAATTCATATGCTTCCCGTACATTTGTTTCATACAGACTGAACAATTGTGGCCCCTTTATTCTATTCATTAAGGTTCAGTGTATGTTTGCCAGCCTACATCTGCAAGGGAGTTGCAGAAAAGCCTCATGTTCATCGAGCCGTGAGTCACCAATGCTTTTTAAAGCTGTTATGAATATGAAAAAACAATACTGTTTGCTTTCCAGCAGTAACTGTTTTACACATCATCACGCTAGTTGGTAACGTAAGAGTGAGCAGAGGGGATACGAAGCTTCTGCCCAGGCGGGTTGTAGTACACTGATGCTGTGCAGCCTGAGCGTCTTTCCTCAAATCTGACTCTAAAAAAAGTAAATAAATAAAGGAAAGGACTCAGATTCCTTCGCCGACGTCTTCACTTTTATTCTTCTGTATCATTCCCAACTTCCTCATTACAGGTTTGGGCAAGAAAAGCTTTTCCCTTTAAACTTTTAGAGGCTGGGACCGCAGGAGGGGTTCTGAATGGGAGAGACCTCGCAGTGTGTATCAATTAACCTTTCACTTTAGTTTTCAATGTTTTATTTCAACTTGGTGAACTTGTTCAACATCTTGTATTGGTTGCTTTTAATATGCACATTAGATTATTCACCATTTCTGTATGTACTCATGAGGGATAATGCACTTAAAGTAGAAGATGACTCTCTGAAACATGACATCCCTCTCTCCGATCTGCTATCATACACCTTTGCACTCAATTGGCAGTTATAAAAGCATAGATGCTTCATGCCAATTAGGGATGAGTGATATATTGAACATTCACAATATATTTAATGTTTAGGCCGTAACATTTATCAACATCTTGATTAGTAATGCAATGATTTTAATGCTTTATTTTAACCATTAAACTTCCAAATGTTAGTGACTTTGATTTAAGCTTCATTTGCAAAAGCATAATTGAATTATGCAACTTTGATTCCTTTCCAAATTATTTATTCATTCATTTCTCAGACGTTGTGTGACATTTTTCATGTATTAAAATGCAATGCATTTCGTTTTATTAATAAATCTTTCTTGTATTTTTATTGAATCACTTTTAACTAGATTACAGTAAACTCTTAGAAGGCAAAACGTATCAAGATATAATTTTTAAGCTGTCACCCAGCCATAACACAATGAACATCAGTCAATCTTTTGGTGACTGAACAGAATGAATAACTGATAATGACAGAGACTGCTAGCGTCTTGGGTTGCTCCATGATCAGAGCCAGTTAAAGAAACAGGCCTTGGGTCAGTGAAAGTTAAACCTCTCTATTCTACATGATAAAAGAGCCTTTACTTTTGTCATGTAACAAAGATTATATCTGACACTGTCAAACACATGCTCTCTGCACTCAGATCTCATGATTTCACTGCAGGGACAGGCAGACCCTTGGCCGAAAAGTTAGCAGTGTGTAGTGCCGCTGTGTGTGTGTGAGAGAAAGAGAGAGACGCGAGTGCTTGTGTGGTCTCATTCAATGTCAATTATGTGCTGTGTCCTTACAGGAGATGAGTCGAGACAGCGGGTTAAATTCACAGACGAGCGCGTCTGCAAATCGCACCTGCTCAACTGCTGCCCGCATGACATTCTCTCTGGAACGGTGAGGAAAAAAACCATTCACACTAAACACTGTTTCTTTATGCAGCATATTAATACCATTGTTGTCTTCTTCCTGTGTATGCAGCGCATGGACCTTGGCGAATGCTCTAAGATCCATGATCTGGCACTGAGAGCAGACTATGAGATTGCGTCTAAAGAGAGAGACCTGTTCTTTGAACTGGATGTAAGTGACTCGTTAAGTAGAGATCATCTGCTAGTGGTTTCAGTGAATTAGCAGCGAAGGCTTTAGTAAATTCTGGTGTTGGATTGGTGTGTGTTGTGTAGGCGGTGGATCACCTGGAGTCGTTTATTGCCGACTGTGACCGCAGGACCGAGTTGGCCAAGAAGCGTCTCGCTGAGACACAGGAAGAGATCAGCGCTGAAGTGGCTGCAAAGGTATGAAGTGTTTATATAGCACTGGGTGCAATACCATGCAGTGGTAAAATGTCACTTGGTAATCTAATTATATCCGGGTTTTAGGTCATTTATACATAAGAGTGACGAGTCGGGTTCTGGAAGTAAAAACTCAATCTTCTACATGGGGAAATTGACTTTGAATGATAAATTATAAACCTTTAAAGACAGACCTACTGTGAGCTTCGAGGTTGTTAACCGATGGTATTTGCTTCTGCTGAAGTCGTCAGCCTTACAGATAATTTTCAGCAATTTCTTTTTAAATACCGTAAAACTTCAAATAATAGCCGAGTCCCAAATAGACGCCTGTCTCTTTTACACGCCTGGTGTGGCTACAGGTCTGGGTCAAGAAAGGCCGGTCTCAAATAGAGGCCGGGTCTATTTTTTAGTTTCAGGTTGTATTTAATCTAATAAAACCTGTCAGATCGTCCGCTTTTTGGCGGCCGCCAACGCAAATTTTTGTCCCGCCAAAGCCTTTTTTGATCGGTGAGTGATGTAGAATAGAATGACTGCTGTGCTTGACACATAGATATGCGCTTGACAGGGCGTAACGAGCAGAGAGCGAGAGAGAGAGAGAGCGCCCCGGCCGCGCGCGCGCACTCTCACGTCTTCAAACAACACGAGCACTGTCTTGCTCTCTCTCCCTCGCGCGCATATTAATCAAAATCAATTGACGCGATAGTAAAAGGTCGGAAGACTGCAGTTTCACGAGGAGCATTTGGAGATTTTTTTTAGAGATTAGAGACTCTAGGCCTATACACTCAGTGAACAACATCTCAACACTAAATTATAAAGGCCCGTCTCATATAGACGCCTGTCTCAAATACAAGCCGGTGCAGTTCGACGATTTGGGAAAATAAAAGCCTGGGCTACTATTTGAAGTTTTACGGTAATCATGTTTAACAGCGGAATTCCTGGTTAAACACTACATTACCCATGATGCTTTATAATGCATGTTTTGCAATAAACCTAAAATATGTTTTTAGATATAGTCAACGTGTATAAATGAGTAGTTTTATCTTTCTCCCTGGTTTTTAATTCGATTAGGCTGTTTGCAATGCTTCATGAGATTGTAGTTCTTTCCCTCACTAAAGTCTTGTATTTGGTTGGCAGGCAGAAAAGGTTCACGAGTTGAACGAGGAGATCGGGAAGCTGCTGGCGAAGGCTGAGCAGCTCGGGGCCGAGGGAAATGTAGACGAAGCCCAGAAAGTTCTACAGGAGGTTGAGAAAGTCCGGACTAAGAAGAAGGATGCAGAGGTTAGACAATGTTTTTATTATTTATATTTTGTTAACTTGTTTCCAAGCATAAGCTGTCACATTTCAGAACATTACCTTTATAATATTACTCTATTGTGAGTTTGTAATGCTTTCTGGATGTATGTTTACTGTTTTGTTTTTTTTACAGGAAGAGTACAGGAACTCGATGCCCGCCTCCAGTTTCCAGCAGCAGAAGTTGCGCGTCTGTGAGGTTTGCTCCGCCTACCTGGGTCTTCATGACAACGACCGGCGTCTCGCTGACCACTTTGGCGGCAAACTGCACCTGGGCTTCATCCAGATCCGAGAGAAGCTGGAGCAGCTGAAGGTAACCGCTCGGCCTAAATCAGGTGCCGGCGGGGGCCGTTGGTTTAGAATAGTAAGTGACATTGCATAATTTCTTCTCTGCAGAAAACCGTGCAGGAAAAACAGGAGAGGCGGAACCAAGAGCGACTGAAGAGGAGGGAAGAGCGCGAGAAAGAGGAGAGGATGAAAAAGGAGTGAGAATATTTTTATGCACCTTTTCGTGTGCTTTAAGATGCATTGTTTTTGTGAAATGCACTGTAGAATCTACAGGAATTCTAGTCTGGTTTTCTCATTTATTTTTATATTATTTTTTTGTATGGTTTATTTAAGTGTGTGGTGTGGTTATTTTATTACCTTCTTTTTTTTTCAGTTGAAATTAAGTTTTTTTTTTAAGATTCAATGTTAAGAATGATGTTTCCAAAGAACATTCATGTTCAATGAATGATGTTAAACAGTTTAAATTATTGTGATCTGAATATTGATCAAAATAATCTTTATTCTTGTCTGCTTTTCTCTGTAGGACCAAGTCGCGCAGCCGAGAACGCAAGAAGTCAGTTGCTCATTCACTTTACATTTGTTTTCTTGCCTGCTAATATTTTTTATAATTAGTACAAAAAGAAAGCAAAGTGCTGGGAATGAATACAATTTAAAAAAAAATTGTAATTGAATTTTTATGCTGTATTCTGTAGTATATTTTTCTCTATGCTCAGCTCTAAAATATCATTGGCTAAGCATAAAGCACTTTTGGGTTTAAACGTTTATTTAAAACTTCTTTGCAAGCCATAGTTTTTTTTATGTTATTTCAGATTAATTTGTAAACCAATTTAATGAATGATCCAAAATCAGTCAATCAAAATCTATTAAAATATCATAGAGAATATTGAACATTTATTGTAAAATTGGACATGTATCTAATCTTATGCATGAACCAGTTGTTAATGTGTGTCGTTCTGTTTGTAGGTCTCGTTCTCGTGACCGCGATCGAGAGCGCAGGCGCCGGCGTTCCCGCTCCGCATCACGAGAGAAGCGTCGTTCCCGTTCTCGCTCCAAAGAGCGCGACAGACGCCGGCGACACCGTTCCCGATCCCGCTCCCGCTCGCGGCACAGCCGAGAACACTCACACAAGTAACTATACTCTCTCGCTCGTGGAGCTTTGAATAGTCACATTCCTTTTTTATTACAGATTTTGTACAAATTTGGTTTTAACAACTTTTTTGGCATGGTGTCAAAAAACAAACAAGCAAACAAACCTTCCACTGTCTTGTAGTAACAGTTGATTTGTGTGTGTGTGTGTGTGTGTGTGTGTTAGGTCTTCACGGGACCGTGACCGCGAGAGGGACAGCAAGCACAGTTCATCTGAGCGGAGATCAGACGGGCTGAACGGCAGGACAGAATCTCGCCGTCATGATGACAGAGAGGCTGGAGAGATCTGAATCATCTCACGCTAACATAACAAACACAAACCGCTCATATACATATACCCACTTTTTTATTTATCATGTTTGCTTCGTCTGTAGTAAACTGCCCATGCCCAGTTTCATTAAAGTCTTTGTAGTCTTTAATATCTCAGTCCAGTAAGAATTGAACCTGTCTGATCCACTGTCCAGTGTTGAAATGACATTTGTTTGTGTGGATTTTGTTTTTTTGTTTTTGTTTCTTCTCTCAAAAGTATGTACTGCCGCTTTTTTGTTTTGCCCCTCCATAATGTTTTTTTTTTTTTGGGATTGGGTTTTCATTTTGTACTGTTTGTCCTGAATGAATGTGTGCATGTTTTGCACGGAGCTCATTCTACTTTGAAAGCTGTTCTGAGGTCAGTTTAAACGCCCTTTCTTTAAATTAGCTGCAGTATTTCCCCATAGAGAGAGACTGAGCTCATTCACTCTTTGTTCCAGTAGCAGAGGTGTAGGAGTTTAATCAATCTAAACAAGTGAATCCATGGCATATTGTTTCAGAATTACTATGTACATGATCTTTTATAATGCTGTTTTGATTTCATGTTGTCCTGATCAAAGTGCATTAAATGGTTTTATGAATTTAAATGGTGTTTGTCATTAATAAGGGCTCTTATCCAACTAATAAACTGAAAGTGCAAGTCTCTTTTTCACTGTTACCTCCATTTATAACTAATAGTTAGGTTGAATGCTTGGTGTTCAGACAGCTATTCTATTTATCTTGTGAATTCATTATGCAATAAATATTTAGATGGTTAAGATATTTTCCGCACAGTAATAGCTTGGCACTTTGATTCAAAATAGGGCCTGAAACTTTTAAGAAAGCCTTGTTTTTGAGAGCATGGAATTAGATTATACAATTATTTAATTAAACGTTTTAGTAAGATAATGATACTCCTATATGATCTGAGGTTCCTGAAAACCGAAATTCCTATTTTTGGAGAGGAGTTAATTTTGTTAGATTATAGTTCATCAAACATATCTAACAAGAAAACAGGTTTTCTTTTTTTCAGTTTATGTGAGTTATTAATATGAGTACGCTAGTATTCTGATTTATTTTTTTATTTATAATCAGATTAAAATGATAGTAATTATTATATTTTATATTATTAATCCCTAATATTGTTTTTAATGAAGTTTCTTCACGTAACCAACAGATGGCGTCATTACGCTGGCAACAAGCTGTGCTCGTCACCTCCGGCAACGTCACCGTGACGCCACAGTCAAAACAACCGAAACATGATGCTAGCGTCTCACACCCGCGAGTAAAATGTCGTGTTTTTAGCGATCGCCGATGAAAGCTTTGGATATTTGTCATCTGAATGTCATGATCTTGTCGAACTATGAGTTTGACAGCGTTTATTTCGGTACAAGGGACCAAAAAGTCATCATAAAAGCACCAGTGTAGCTACCGGTTTGCTAACGACAGGCGTCAGACCAACAGTCAAACCCGGTACGCCTGAAATAATTCATATATTACATTTAACATATCAAATTTAAAGTCAACTAGTGTGTATTCTCGCCAATTGGCTCCGTCAAACGGATTACAAGCGTGTGACGCGTCAGTAGACGTACAGATGTGTGTGTCTGCCACATGTTATTCTGTAGAGTTTCTCTTCTAATCACTATTAATGAACAACTAATAATTAGTTTTACTAAATTTGTGATGATTCATTCTCGGTGTCAGTCAAATGACATGAGTTCTATGTTGTTCACAGTTCAGCTGGAAGAGTCAGGAATCATCTGACAGCTGTCAGGGGCTGATCAGAGTCCAGATGTGTGTTATGAAGTCTATAAGCCTGTAGTTTGTGTTATTGCACAATTATTGTCATTGCAGTGTGTGTGCATGTAATGATGTGTTATTGTAGTTTTGTGTGTAACGTGTGTTGATGTGTCCCTGCAGTGTGAGAGGTTTGCAGGTATCTGGATCCCCGGGACAGGCCGGTGCTCACCGAAGAGACGGGGAACAGGATCGGTAAGCAGGGGGGAGCAGGCACCGCTGAGCCCGTGGAGAAGATGGCCAGCAGCCCGGAGAAAAGCTCCTCCGCACAGGAGCTCAAGGAGCAGGGCAATCGCCTGTTCCTCAGCCGAAAATACCAGGAGGCCGTGACCTGCTACAGCAAAGCCATTGTGAGTGGGGCAGGACAGTTCTCAGTTTACACCAAATTACATGCACGTTTGATAAATGTACAAATAAATGTACAAAATTTGGGCTCAGTAAGATTACTGGTCAAAGTTTGGAATAATTACACATTTTCATGTTTTTTTTTTAAAAGAAGTCTCTTCTGCCCACCAAGGCTGCGTTTATTTGATCAAAAATACAGTATATATTGTGAAACACACTGCCCAGCCAAAAAAAAGAAAGTCGCTGTTTGGATTTCAATAGGCAAATGCTTAAGAGTCTATGATTGGATGATTATTGCAGTGATTATTATGTTTCTAACATGTTATATATGTGGCAACAGTTCTTCTAACTCTAACTGAAGGAGTGTGTAGCTTTTCATTTCTGAAACAATCATGTAGGAAGAACATGTTCATATTCCAGGATGACAATATCCAGATTCATCAGGCTCAGATTGTGAAAGAATGGTTGTGAAAAGCTTGAAGAATCATTTCCACACATGAATCCAGAGCTTAAAATCATTGAAGTGTTTGGGATGTGCTGGAGGAGACTTTACAGAGTGCTGGACTCTTGCATTGACAATACAAGATCTTGATGAAAATAACACCACAACATTTATTTACATCAATGAAATTAATTTATTTCCTGATGAATCCTGATATTGTCATCCTGAAATATGAACATGATGTTCTTCCTACATGGTTGTTTCCGAAATGAAAAGCGACACACTCCTTCAGTTAGAGTTAGAAGAACTGTTGCCAAACATATAACATGCTTGTATCTAAATGTAATTTATTCCTGTGATGCAAAGTTGAGTTTTCAGCATCATTACTCAGTAATGAGTGGCTACAGTGGCTCAGTGGGTAGAACAGTCACCTCACAGTCTCCAGTTCGAGTCCCAGCTGAGCCAGGAGTCCTTTCTGTGTGTGGAGTCTGCATGTTGTCAGCGTGTGTTTTCTCCGAGCGCTCCGGTTTCCCCCACACAGTCCAAAGACATGCAGGTTAGGTGGATTGGACATGCCGAATTGGCCCGTAGGAGTGTGTGTGAGTGTGTCTCAGCACTCTCTGTTTCTCAGTGCTGGGTTGCGTCCACTGTAAAACCTGTGCCAAATCCATTGTGTGAGTGCAGATAATTTGATGAAGCGAACCCTGCAAATGAGCGGCACTAATGCTAGGAAAATATAATTCTCCAGGCTTCAGTGTCACATGATCCTTCTAAAGCATTCTAGAAACAGGTCTAGAAACATATCTGAATATTATCAGTGTTGAAACTGTTTGTGCCGCTTCATATTTTTGTGGAAATCATGATACACTACCATTAAAAAGTAAGATAAAAAAAAAAAAGAAATGTATACTTTTATTCAGGAAGGACACTTATTTCAAGTAAATTCTATTCATCCAAGAATCCTAAAAAAGTGCATTGACGTTTCCACCAAAAATATTAAGCAGCAAAAACGTCTTACATTTATCGTAATAACAACCATTATTAATAACAGAACAATAATAATTGAGCAGCAAATCGGCATATTAGAATGATTGCTGAAGGATCACGTGATGCTGAAAATTCAGCTTTGATCACAGGAATAAATTACATTTGACTATATGTTCACAGAGAAAACAGTTTTAAGAATATTTCACAATATTACTGTTTTTACTGTATTTTTTATCAAATAAATGCAGCCTTGGTGAGCAGAAGAGACTTCTTTTTATTCATCAAAGAATCCTGAGGATTTTTTTTAACATGGTTTCCACAGTTTCGATGAATTTTAAATGCACGTTTTATATTCAGTAATGCGTTTAACTCATCAAGTGACGATTGTGTGGCTATTGGCAGAAAATACACATGATCTCCGTAGGACTGATAAAGTCGTAGAGTTGTACTGATCATGTTTCTGCTTGTGTGTGTGTGTGTGTGTGTGTGTAGAACCGTAACCCCTCAGTGGCCGTGTACTACACTAACAGAGCGTTATGCTACGTGAAGCTACAGCAACACGACAAGGCGCTGGCCGACTGTAAACACGCCCTCGAGCTCGACAGCCAATCAGTGAAGGCGCACTTCTTCCTGGGCCAGTGTCAGCTGGAACTGGAGAACTATGAAGAGGCCATAGGCAATCTACAGAGAGGTACACACACACACACACACACACACACACACACACACACACACACACACACACACACACACACACTCACAGCTTGAAGTAGGAATTTTGATTTAAAGGGGTCATATGATGCTTAATGTTTTCCTTTTCTGTGTAAAGTATCTGTGTGTGCATGTATACGATCTGCAAAGGTACAAAGCTCATAGTCTCCCACAAAGCGGTTTATTCTACCTAACAGAGAACGCTGATCCAGACCGGCCTAAAACATTAGGAATCAGATTTATTTATAAAGCTGTTTCTGAGCAGTATAACCTCAAAGTTTGCAGCTTCCTGAACCCGGAGAGCTTAACGGCGGCTAGATACAAAGATGACTTACACTGTGAGACCTTCTGCTCAAGTTGGTTCTGATCGAACGCCTCGATCATCCGCATTTTAAGAATGCGACTCGGACTCGAACTGATACAGAAAAACCGATAGGTCTTTCCATTTAGTTTTTATAAAAGAATATTGGCCACAGGGATATATAAGGTTTCATAGTCAAAGTGAATGAGAGATAAGAAATTTGATTTCAGCAATACCTGTTTTAAAATTAAAAAATCTAATTTTTGTATGAGATGTTCAGTGTCATTTGATGCACCTTTTAAAGGGCTGGTTGATTATGATTTCACTTTTCTAACTTTAGTTAGTGTGTAATGTTGCTGTTTAAGCATAAACAACATCTGCAAAGTTACAGCGCTCAAAGTTCAAAGCAAAGGAAGAGATTTGCTTTTAAAGAAATCGTTTTTTTAAGGACTACAACAAACGGCTGGTAGGAACTACACGAGCTTCCTCCCGGGTCAGTGACATCACTAACCCTAGAATTTACATAAACCCGCCCCCTGAACACAATTTATAGATTATCAAGACAGAATATGCTAATCAATGAGTAGAAGAAAACTACACATAAGCTACATAAATTCATCAACTAACCACTCAGAAATGTCCTGTTGCTTCTACATGTTGTCACTTCTTGAGTCTCTCCATTATTGTCTGACTCCGGTTTGAACATAAACATTGAAATTTCCAGTGCATGTGTGTGTGAGGTAAAAGGACACAAGCTCTTGAAGCTCCGCCCCCTGTGCTGGGAGCGGCAGCTCATTTGCATTTAAAGGGACAGACACAAAAACAGTGCGTTTTTGCTCACCCTAAAAAAATTACAACTTTAACATGCTATATAAAAATATGTTATTTTTTTTAGCTAAAACTTCACATACACACTCTGGGGACATCAAAGACTTATTTTACATCTTGTGAAAAAGGCATTCTACCGCCCCTTTAAGGTCTTGTTTTATCATTTTGGTCTTGTCTCTAATAATGTAGCTCTATATCTAATATCAACCAATGTATTTGTTATTGACCTAGTAATAATCTAAATCATTTTCCATTATCAGTATCAGTGAATCCCTAAAAACCATAATAGAAATAAACTAGGCATCCAAACAGACATCAGTGTTCAAATGCAGTGATGAAATTGCTTGTTTTCAGCTTATAACCTGGCGAAGGAACAGCGGCTGAATTTTGGAGACGATATCCCAAGTGCTCTTCGCATTGCCAAGAAAAAGCGCTGGAACAGCATAGAAGAGAAGCGGATCAGCCAGGAGAACGAGCTGCATGCGTACCTCACCAAACTCATCCTGGCAGAGAAGGAGAGGTGAGAGTCACGCTGGCATCCGTCCGTACACACACACTGATGATGCGTCTGTGTCGTAACATCTGTCTGTGTTTGTGTGTGTGTTCAGAGAGCTGGACGACAGCAGAGTGAAGCAAACCGAGGACATTCAGAACGGAGGCGAGATCAGCAAATCCAAATCCAAACACGTGAGACACGCGCCTGTAAATACACAAAGACCTCCGCGTCGTGTAGGATTGATGAAGTGATGTCATTTCCTGTGCTTCTCTCTGCAGGATAAATATCTGATGGACATGGATGAACTTTTCTCTCAAGTAGATGAAAAGAGGAAGGTATGAAGAAATAATTTCAAACGAAACCATCATCTCAAGACATTTTGACAATCACTCAACACACACTGAAATATCATCGGTCCAAAATCCTGCTCCAAATAATTGTACATTAAACATCATTGCGTTTGATTGGCTGTTGTGTTATATTCCATGTGCAGAAGCGAGAGATCCCAGATTACCTGTGTGGGAAGATCAGCTTTGAGCTCATGAGGGAACCCTGCATTACTCCCAGCGGCATCACTTACGATCGCAAGGACATTGAGGAACATCTACAGGTGCTCACCCAAACACTCACCCGTCATCACTGCCATTTTGAGCTGCGCCCATTTGCTCCCAGCTTTTTGTTGTTGTTTTGTTTTTTGAGCCATGTGACTCGTAGAAAAATGATGTCATGATTGGCTAAAAGATCATGGCGGATCAGATTACAGCATGTTAATGTACTAGGACTGTATTTTAAAATTAGTTTTTATTTTTATATTTCCGTTTTAGTTCTAGTTTAAATCGTATTCATTTTGTTGTGTGTTTAGAGTCAGTTTGTATTAGTTTTAATTTTCCATTTTATTTTTATTTCAGTTTCTAAAAGATAATATAAATAAAAAAAAATATCTAAAACCATATAGTGTAATCTTAGACGATTCTCTCTGATATTTTAGTATTTTTCATATACTATTATATTATTTATTAATATTTTGAATTAATATTTATCTATATATCTACTTATTTTTCTTTAAAATATTTCTGTTTTGTTTTTTTCACATTTGGTCATTTTAGTATTTCAAATTAAACATATTTTATTTCTTTTCAGTTAGTTGCCAATGTATTTTTCTATTTTTTTTTTTTTTGTTATCTAGTAATTATATTGTATTTTTTTAATTTGTTTTTGTTTTTGTTAATGATAACAACAAATGATAAGATGCTTTGCAGCCAGACAACATCTACATATGTTACAACATCTATTGAAATGGCTTGGGACAAATCACTCTTTTTAAAATAGCAAATAGCCTTTAGTGATGAAAAACAACAAAATTGCAGTTTTGATTTAATGTTTTCTCTCTCTCTCTCTCTCTCTCTCTCTCTCTCTCTCTCTCTCTCTCTCTCTCTCTCTCTCTCTCTCTCTCTCTCTCTCTCTCTCTCTCTCTCTCTCTCTCTCTCTGTAGCGTGTCGGCCATTTTGACCCAGTCACCCGCAGCCAACTGACCCAAGATCAGCTGATCCCCAATCTGGCCATGAAGGAAGTGATTGACGCTTTCATCCAGGAGAACGGCTGGGTGGAGGACTACTGAACACACACACACACACACACACACACACACTCGAGCGGACTGCAGCAGAGTTTCCTCACGCTGAATCGAATCCTCTACTGTATGTTCATGCACTTTAATCAGTGGAGCTTTGCTGTGGAGCGTCTCCCCGCAGGAGTCACCTGACCCTCTCTCTGTCCTCCAAACTCTCTCTGCTGTCCTTCCTTCTCATTCAGAATAATCCTGCAGGTTTTGTTCAGACACTTCCTTTCAATCTGAAACTTTGGCTGATGTTTGCTGCTCATGATGATGCTGTAATCTCATCACTGAATGTTAAAAAGCAACATTATTGATGACACATCACTAATAATCACTCATGAAAGAGGAAACTCTGTGCATGCGAGTGTTGCGCAGATTGGCGAGTGTGTTTTTTTTTTTTTTAGAAGCTGTCCCTATGATTTATATGCAGAATGAATGCGATATATGCGAGTGTGTAAAGTTCTAACATACGTAGAATGTTTCTAAGACGCTTCTCGAGCTTTGGGTTCTAGCAGGATGATGGTTATAAGGTTTTGTAATGAGCGTTTAATCCACAACATATATTTAGACATTCATTCATCTGCCAATCAACGAAAACGAACTGAGAATCTGTGGCGTGCAGGTGACATCATCATCGTTATGGTGTATTATTATACGTTTAATCTCACTATGTGTGTCTGTGCGTTAGAGCGAGAGGTAAGTGATTATTTCACACTATTGATTTTGTCTTTCCCTTTGGACCTTTGGGGAGTTTTCTGTTTCCTGGCACGAACACACACACTTCCTGTTTAGTATCAGTATTTTCGTGGATTTGAGCCCTTGTTAGTCGCTGGACGTCACAGTCCGGCTCGGCTCAAATATTCCCGAAGTGTAATGAGTTTAGGTTGGATGCATGTTCAATAAATGTTATTTTTGTTTCTTTTTGTAGCAAATGTGTTGAATCGAGTCTTATTCTTTCCAACAAATGTAAAGGGACGAGTCACGACCCTAAATAAAAAGACCTTATTCAGGTGAGACGCCATTTTGAATTTAACACAGATGAAAATTAAGCTTTTAAAAACGAGGGATAGACTTCTTTAATTTAAGTAATTACTTCACGACTGCTATAAAAAAGTACATTCTATATAGTGTGTGTAGTGAATGTAATACTACATTTCCCATGTCATTATCATGTGACGTAGTAGTAGGTCATCCCGGTACTCTTTTATGAGTACTTCTTTTGTCACATGCTGTTTTTTGCCTACTATATAGTATATAGGGAAGTATGTGATTTTGGATGACGCGCATTGTATAAAGGTCATACTTTAATTATTTTTTATCTACTGCCTTTTTTCGAAAAGAAGTTTACTCATCTGAACAATCGGTATGTTAAACAACAGTGCAAACCATTAAACTCACTGTTTTATCCCTCACAGCCTCATTCTCACTCCTGTCTAAAAAATAAAAATGGCGCTACCCTGACTGAGGTCTGTAGAGCTTCTGGGCCCGTATCCCTAAAGATTCTGAGAATCCTCTCAGAGAGCTCCTAACTTAAAGGGTTAGTTCACCCAAAAATGAAAATTAAGTCATTAATTACTCACCCCCATGCTGTACCAACCCCGTAAGGCCTTCGTTCGTCTTCGGAACACAAATGAAGATATTTATGATTAAATCTGAGAGGTTTATGACTGCTACATAGGCTCCCTAAGGGAATGACACCGGACGGCCCAGAAAGTCATTAAAGAAAATGTTTAAATATTCCATGTCACAACAGTGGCTCAACTATAAGTTTATCAAGCGACGAGAATACTTTTTGTGCGAAAAAACAAACAAAAATAACGACTTTATTCGACTATTCCTTTTCTTCCTTGTAGGCCTGAAACGAGACTTCAAGAGATTTCCACGACGCATGCGCGAGAATTGCGATCTCCTTCAACTACTTCAGTTGTAGTTGAGCCACTGTTGTGACATGGAATATTTAAACATTTTCTTTAATGACTTTCTGGGCCGTCCGGTGTCATTCCCTTAGGGAGCCTATGTAGCAGTCATAAACCTCTCAGATTTAATCATAAATATCTTCATTTGTGTTCCGAAGACGAACGAAGGCCTTACGGGGTTGGTACAGCATGGGGGTGAGTAATTAATGACTTAATTTTCATTTTTGGGTGAACTAACCCTTTAACCTAAAAATTCCTTGCCAGGAGTTTTAGCTTAGAAGTGATTCCAGAACATTTTCAGTGAACTCTGAGCAAGGAATGGATGGAAAATCCTATCTTAGTGAGGGGGTGTGGTTGACCCCGTTGCTAGGTATGAGTCATCATTTCAAAAGCTGTGATTGGTTGATCCTACAAGTTTGATGAAAATGAACTTTTGGTGATAATGAGCAAAGGATGTACCCTCAAATCAATAAACATAATTATACACTCTAATCTTATGCAGACTTTAATTGTAAATAATATTTCACATTCAAGAAAATATCTGGAAAATGAATAGTAAGCTGTAGGGGTTATAGCCTAACATTAGAATATAAAATATGTGAACACTTAAGTTCATTACACCCTGTTCAAATAATGATTTGTGTCTTATTTGCTCATATTAATATCCTAGCTGGCATATTTTGTACTTTCACTCCCATATGGACCCCATTGAAAACAAGATGGCCTATCTCAAGGGGCTGTCCTTAATGAAGTAGAAATTGCAACGTTACAACTCAGTGTGGTCTTAACGAGGGTAACACGGCTCAGCTTTTATCAATGTCTGTGATTGCTGGCTGGTCTATTTATTAAGGCTTGTTAACAAATATCCTACAAACACAGAAAATGGAGAAAAAAGGAATCCTAACCCATTTTCTGCAGCTGCTTAGGGGAACTCCTAAGCAAAGTCCTCTTCCCTGCTCTTAGCAGATCTCGCCTTAGGAGCCCTTTTAAGCGCCAGGAATCTTGAGGAATAGCTTTTATATTAACTGGGATTTTCGTGTCACTTTTAGGGGAAATTCTAAGAAAACGTCATGACTCTGAGAATTTTCTTAGAATTTGGCCGCTAGGAGCCACTTTTTGCACAAAAATTCTTTAGGGATACGGGCCCTGGTTTGTATTTCCACAGCATTAAAGGTGCAATCAGTAACAATTTTGAGTATCTATTTACAGAAATGCAAAATGACATCCATAACTATATTTTCAGTGGTGTATAAAGAACTTACTTAATAACCCGTAATGTTTTTATTACCTTAGAATGAGACATTTATATCTACATAACCGCGGGAATCCCCTTCTATGAAGGTCGCCATATTGTGACGTCATGTTTCTACCGTAGCCGACAGCGAACACACAGCGCTACAGACCGCGTTTCGTCACTACCTTGAAAGAGAAGCCGCAGAAACCTAGTCATAAACACCGTGAGTAGTGACTCTTCCCTTGTCAGTGGTGTAAAATATGTAGTTGGATTGTTTCATGTAACTTAATTCTTCTCCCTCGCTGTGTTATGGCTTTGCTATGTGGGGATAAATGTGCTGGTTATGTTCGTGAGACAGCTGATTAGTAGGCTACTCTTGTCATTGACCATAAAACAGTTACAGGAATCACCAACCCGTCGATCTTGGAAACATTTTAAGTCGATCGCGAGGAGTTTTCAAAATCAGAGAAAAAAAGCCTATTGTGTGTGTAGTAAGTGGTGTCTAGGGGATGCGGAGGCGCGCGCGCTGTTATAATCATGTCATTTTTGCCGCGCGCACCTTTGGGCTCATGCGGACTCGTCGAGTTTAAACAAGGCTTTACGCTTTAACCAGCTCAGCCACAGTAACAGCTCATATTTAGCCAGCTAAACTTTTACTACCCTGTTAGAAAAAATATATAGTTGCATAGTTTAATGTGGTTCTTCTCCCTCGCTGTATTATGGGTTTAGACCATCAGCTGATTACTATTATTATATTATGTATTAAGACCCTTGATCCTCATCTGACTATGGCTTTGAAAACGTTATCCATGATGTGGTTTATAATGGACTGTGGTACAGAAACAGTGACAATGTTACACACTCTTGGCTTACTCTGGCTATTCTCTGCTGTCTCCGGACGACGATATGTTTGTCCCGTTTTAGCCACCGTAGCTTCTTCGAAAGGGAGGGGTGAGCAGTGGACTGAGCCATAGACATCATATAGGTAGACGCCCTATCGACGAGTAGTATGAAGCTGCAGACTCGGAGACCTGCATCTACAGTCCCCCTGCACCCAGAGTCCCGCATTCTCAGACCCCTCGTTTTTCGAGACAGCTCCTCCTATCAAATTGTATCGGATAAACATGTGAAGAACTTAAGCCAAAACGTGAGTAGGCTATCTTAAATTTTATTTAGCGAATCGTAGTAGCCTACTCGTTTGATTTATTTTTTTATAAAACTAATTTAGCTCATCGATACAACATATGAATAGTCCATTTAATATTTGTAAAGATAGTTTGTAACAAGATTTGAGCCGTTAATGTATGTTTTTTCGTATGTATTAATATTTTGATAGCTAACGTTAGCCTTTAACCTTGGACTTTTTGTAGATATGTCATAAATGCTGCAGTGATTTTCACT